GTAACAAAATTAATAATTGAATTCTACAATCAAAAGATTTCTGAATTTGCAACTATTACATAAAGCCAACCAGTTTTCCTATTTTAATATTTCTCCAACTTCATTTATTGAAAGGCTCCTTTAACCTTTCAACTCTAATCATCTATTCTAACAACAAAGGACATATTGTCATAAATAAAATAAATGTTTTATTACATAAAAACACATTTTTTGCCCTTCTGTACGCCAAAATTTATCGTTTAAATTTTGCCAATCGCATCTGAATTTGAAAATTAACCTCTTATAAAATATACTTAATTTATCATCTTTTAAGTATATGTCATAGAGTTTTTAGTTAATTTTTAAAAGTTTCATTTTGGATTGTGTCAAGCCTAACTGGAACCGTTTCAGTATAGTTTTCTTAAAGGCTTAAGGTGTTCGAACGTGACTCTCATACGCCAAATCCATTTAACTTGTTTTTTAAACTCGCTATAACAAAGAATTTTCTTTATGATATTTTCATTCACTATTATGTTCGGATTGAGTTTTTTGGGCATACCCTTTATTTTCCGTAAGTAATTTAGATGGTATTTTATTGTATAAATGAAAAGGGTACTGCGTCCTGTTTCAAGTTGTAGCAAATAGTTGGGTTGGAATCCAAGATATAGAAGAGTTTTCATGAAAAACCTGTGGGTTAGCTCAATTTCCTCATACTTTTTACGTCCGCACACTTACAACCATAACAAAGAATACTCCGAGAAATACGATCGAATATGGTATATTTTGTCTGCAAGGGAACGTTTTGCTTTGCTAAAAGGTTTTGCCAACTGGTGTTTACGCCTGCTTTAGTCTTAGAGCTTTTTGCTCATGTAATAATAAGGGGTGTAAGCATCGACCCCAGCTATTGATAATTAAAATACCTATTGTCAATTTCAATCCGATCTACCACCATTTTTAAATTGTAAGGATCTCTTACAACTCATGTAAATCCTTTTTTCTGGTCTGCCACCATTTCTAAAAATCATAATTTAACACAATTTTCTATATTGTTAATGAGACCCATGTTTTACAGTATTCGCCCAGGCGGTTGATCATGGCTAGTAGAGATTAATCTGCGACCACCAAATCATCCGCGTATAAAAGATCTTGATTCTTTCGACGTAAACCGAGATACGACCTCCAAGATTATCAAAAATATCATTTAATAAAAAGGCTAAATAGTTCTGGACTCAGCACACATCCCTGCCTCACTCCTGATCCCACATGTAAGTTCTCAGAGTAAGAACTATTAGTTTATACAAAAGAGCTTCTATTCTTGTAAATATTTTTAATTGCTGTTCTAAAAGTTGTCGATACTCCACTTAAATTTGATTTATAGGGAACATACTTATTCCCTATCTACATTGTCATTGTCGCCTTTTAAGCCTACAAAAAATAAGAACAACTTGCCGCATTTTCGGCTCATTTATAACTTAGCAAAAGACATTAAATTAAATATGTTGTTGCAAGTTGAAACCAGCTTGAGCCTCTATTAATATCTTATTTTTTACTACCTATTTCGTCAATCATTACTCTAAAATACTGTCATAGATTATTCGTTTGCATTTATAAACGATATGGGGTTTATAATTGTTAGGAGTTTCGGGGTCATCTTCATAAGGGGTAAATGAAGAAATTATCAGGATGGTTACCCTCGTGAAACATTTTGTTACACTCTAGGCAGAACAGGTTCAAAGTTTTTGATAAATTCGAACGGGATCCTGTCTGAACCAGGGACTTTATTATTTTTTGATGCAGCTATAGCTCGATCTACTTCCCACCGTTGAATAAATTTATCCAACATATCATGAACAAGGGTTGTGCATAAGACGATTTAAATTTACAAACCCTGAATATTTAAGAACATTTGCTTACAGCTGAGCCCATTGATACATGGAAATACGAGTGGCACCACTAACTACTGGTGACGGCCTATTGTCTTGATTAGACAGGAAGTCGGGATTGGGCTTTTATATGTAATAACAATATTACAATAAAGGATAATTATTCAATAATTTTTCCTTTCCGAAAATAAAACACAATTAACCGGGGAGATTAGAATTTTAATCTTCTCCGCGCTGCCGTAGTCGACATTGCAATGGGAACATCTTTCGAAAAATCGCAACAAACTTTCGTATTGACCCCAAGAAAAATATGCGACTTTTTAATAATATTGTTTCTTAATTACATTCCATTCGTTAAAGTTTATGTACGCCGTTTCTAAAGAGCAAAAATATTTTCTCAAAAGGTGCGCGTTTTATATCCACTTTTAATTAACTTCATCCCTCCTTGTAAGTACATATTTAAAATTCACCTTCTAGAATTAAATAACAAGAAAACCCTTGGTAATTCGGTAAATAACAATTTGGCACCTCGGTAATTAATTATATCACCTCGAGAATACAAACCGGGCGCCCGACTTGTGCACGAATTTCCGACGAGAAACAACTATTTAAGGCTTAACAATTGAATGAAGTGGACTAGACTTGAAGGCCCCTCGAGATCATTCTCTCCCCCGGGGAGTCGAGCGGAAGGGAAACTTTAAACGAGCATCTCAACTTTAAAGGAGCTTCTCATTTCGAAAATCATCTTGGAAACAGTCTCGTAAAAACCGGTGGTAAACGTCGGTTTTTTTTCTTTTCTGCGACTATGACCCTCTTAAGAACAATCTAATCTAGTCTCAAATGAAAATGATTTTTTTTTTTTTGTAGTCCTGTGTACATTTCTAAGTTATTTTCTGGCCGACATCAAAATGTTGTTGTTCGAAATCAAAATATTCAACAAATGTTGAATATTTGTGTTTCCTATGTTAATTAGTGCTATTATTACTGTCGTACACAATTGTCACTCAATTAGTACCTTGGACTTGTTACAAGTGTATTATTTACATACTTATTTATATACTCCCGGAGGCAACACTAACACTACATGTCATTGCTTTTATCCTGAGGGCACATGTAATGTACAGGCCAACGCTGGCAGTCTAAATGAGGGCTCGGCATAGTGAATTATGTGCTCATATACGCTCATTGTCAGTGTTAAACTGTCACCTTTCTGTGTGTGACGTCATTTCTGAAAGAGTAACTGAAGTATTGTACAGTATAATTGTACAGTTCTATCCGGCGAAACGTTAGGTATTCTGCTTTAGCTCTAAAACCTCCAATAAATTGTCAGTTCTCCCAGACAATTTTTGAGCCTGTTTTATGGACAATTTCGGGTTACCAAATCGATACAGAAAAACGTATAGACTTCTTCTATGCTGGGCAATGTTTCTAGAAGGTTCACATCACTAGATTTGCTCTTTCCTTGCTTTTTCATTTGCACTCCTTTGGTGTTAAGCAGTTACCAACAGGCAAAATTCTTCTTTGCTTTAGTCACCCATCCGGCAAGCAACGCCATCCGCACAAAACTGGCACAACGGATGGAAAACTTAACAAACGCTCGGTTTTGTTAATGTTCAGAATTTCTTCCGATCTGTACGAGAATGAGCGTTTTAGAATGGTTCGAAAGGTTGGAATGGAACTGGAAGAAGCAGATCAATTCCATGAAGGAAGAAATATTCAGGTCATTGATGACAGTAGATTAGTGGCTTAATAAGGAACTACGGCAGCCTGACAGACGTCTTCCGTTACAATTTTAATTTTACGATTGTTCATAAAATCGGAACCACCGTCCAACAATTTTCGATGTTTTTATAGCTGCTAAAATTGAGGGATTTTTTCTAGTGGTCTGCGGGGAGATAAAACTGTAATTTGGTATTGCCGATCATTTTGGTTTGCAAATCCTTTTCTAGGTTTGGCCTAAAATTTGAGATAGACCCAACGGTGTAGATGAGAGAGACAAAAATGATCGATAATGACCAAATTTTTGTTAAAATTGTCACAAAAAATTCGGATTTTATAAATTAAAAGGTTTTATTAGAAATGAAAGAAGATTAAATTGTAAACAGTGTAAAAAGAAGCTCCAGTTTTATTAATCGATTGCTAAATAATCTCCACAAATTTTATAACTTTAAACAAAATTCAACAATAAAGAAGCCAGAGAAAAAAAAATAATTGGGCAAAATCTGAAAGTTCGAACAGCCACATGTCGAATTATCCAGTATTTCTTAAAGTTTATTCTTAGGGATTATAATTTCAATTCGAAAAAATGTATTTTGCAAAACGTGAGCTTAAAGGAGCAGAAATCCCATATTATTTTAATCGCAGTTAAGAAAAATTTCATTTGACAAAAAAAATGTTTTTTAGGCCAAAACCTTTCAAAGGACAGCCATCGCTCATTAACTCGCGTCGTGATTGACTCGAATTTCATAAAAGGACCCTGGCAGGAAAATCAGAAAAAACCGAAAAGAAACCGATGTCGCGGCCCATTTGACAAAGAGGGATCCGCAGCAGACGTGATCTTTAGCCTAACTACCTCGTAACGGTCTCGAGGTCGCCCCTTTGGGATTTGCATAAAAATCCTGCCTCTTTTTCGCCCTCGCCGCAAATCGGATCACGAGCTAAATATGCAGGATGTCTCCCGTAGAATTGTGCTTGTGGAACGCCGAACGAAATCCCGATCCGTGATCTGCGGAAACGAAAATTGGCGTGGGGCGGAGGGGTACAGGCGAGTCGACATATAGTAACTTCGTAAATGACAAGAATCCTCTTTGATGTTAATAATTCAGAAGTTTCAATTTTACACCTTTTGGAACATTCGATATTGCGATCATTCGTGTTTCACCGGTTTATACGTAACATCAATGATCCACTGCATACAAAACACTCAAACATGTGGAAGGCAATTAATAAATAAATCAAAGGAAAAATAATCCATTTGTCTCAAAGTTCGCTTCTAAAATTTACTACACGAACGAGCCAATTTGAAAATATGCCATTATAGAATTATAATATATATTAATTGACGGTCACTAAATACTACACATATAGAATTATTTTTATGAACGCATAAGATTAAGGTGAAATACATACAAATCTTACCTTGTATATTCCATCGACGAGTTTTGTTATTTCTTCAGTCTCCATCTTACAGCATCACACAGTTAAACCTGGAAAAAAGCAGTCAATTATATATTTTTAAATTTGAATTACTCGCATTTGTTTATTTGTGGAATAGATTGAACTTAATCTTATAGATGTTATTAAACTCGGTTAAAGCATCTGCGCCAAATCCTATTTACTAGTACAACACAAAGCGAAAACGGCTATTACCTGGACCTAACATCTGCCAAGAGCAGGTGTTGAAGGACAGTTTTGCAACAAACTTTCTGAACATCATCATGTCAAATTGTTCATAAACCGTGCAAATATGTCATGATTACTTTCTTTGAACACGTGACAACCGAGTATCTTAAAAATAAATTCCAGAGGTACATGTGATAGCACAATTAGGATAGGTCAAATAATGAAGTTTGTGGTGAGTACTAATCATTTCTATACTACTGTTTATAGTAAAAAAAATATTTTGATATAGCATGTTTTCAGTAATGCGAGATGAATATGATTTTTTCCTAGTATAAGATTAGGTAGAATGAAAGTTTTATATTTTATTTATTTATTTTTATTTTATTTTTGTCACCTGCGCCAATTGCTAAGTAAATCGATAATATCTTAGAGCGTAAATCAAAACAAAATCTACTCAAAAATTTACATAAAGCGGAAAAAACAGGAACTACTCATTTGATAGCCACTACTATATATTAGATTCACTAGTTTTCGTGGTCCCCTTGACCAATTAATATCTTTCAATTAATTAAGGTTTTTAGTTGAGATAAAAAAGCCAGTGTCACGAGTGGGATTCGAACCCACGATCTTCCGCTAGATACGCCGCTGCTCTACCACTTGAGCTATCGTGACCTCGACCCATTCGGACACTAACCTCCCATCTCAACCCCACCTTTTGACACTTTCCCTCCTTTTTACCATTTTTCAAATGTCGTGTCAACTATTTGATTCTCGGCGACAAGTGTCGGCGACTATATATTAGCGTTAATCACTTTCACTGTCACCTAGTAGGATGACTCAGGCGTCGGGGAGGATAGTTTAGAAGGTTGCAGGTTGAAAGGTTTTTGCATGAGACTTTGTGTGACTGCGAAATTGTCTGCCAACTTTTGTAGCGGTTTTTCGGAATTTAATTTAACATTAAAAAATTACGTAAGTAAATACGTAGAATAATTGTCCCAACTTGCATCAAGTACATCGTAAAATTTCCAATCGCTGGGACTCCTGCTAACCTAAACAAAGTTCACTAATTGAATAGCAAAATGCGTTTCAAATCAGAGAACTTGAGCCTAACTGAAATGCAAGGTTAAATAAAAATTAAGTTAATTAATAATTATAAATTTACAATTTGTTTCAAATTAGAACATGTTGGATCTTTCTCATTTCTAAAGCTCCTCATCCACCATACTTGGCCACCGACCCTCAATGAATTTCTTAAAAAAAAGAGCACCTTCGAGGTTTTCAAGCCTGTTGGCCGAGTTATAGTCGACAAAGTACCTTATATTTTTATATAACTTTTTATATGAATGTAGAGTTATAAGTTTTTAGAGATACTTAAATTATTTATTGAATTTCAGTGCTACCCTGTACTTTTAATTTCGGTCTGGCTATCCTTGTACCCATATTTATTAAAATATTTTTTATATATTTTACCCATAATATTAGTTATTTATTACAATAATATTTTTATATAGTTTTATTAGAAACATGTATTCAAAAAGAACCACCAAGGGGGAGACTTATTAGATTTAGGTAAATTAATAATAAGAAAAATGTATGTTTTTAGTTGGTCCTATTAATCAAACTAATTATTTTTATTGGTTTGTTATTTTTATACAAAGCGCGGTTGAGTTAAAAAATTGGTATCTCGAGAGGGATTCGAACCCTCGACAAGCTGCACATCAAATGATGGCACACGGTGCACACAATGCAAAGGGGATTTTCATTAATTTCATATACATATTTACGTAATAAGGAAGCCTGGGTTAAATTAAATAAAGAAGTCGCTTCTGATATCTTATTTAATTTTGCAATTTTGCATTTAAAAATACAAGGCAGTTTTTGATATGTCAAGGGATATTATAGGCTTAGAATGAAATTACAGATTTTAATTCAATTTTCCTAGACGTGAAGCGAACCTTAGACCGTATAGCTCCTTCCTCTTACTTATTTTCTGAACCTAAAATCTTACCTATCCTACAGATACTTTCAAATCATCAGTTCGTTCCTCTCTATCTGTCTGCCGGCTATCGCACAGATGCAGGAGTATCTTTGGGCCCATCCTCTACCGGAGGCATTCGTACTCTTCCTGAAACGATCCTTACCACCTATGCGGATTATACTGCCGTCCTTTGCTCTCAAAACCAGAAACCTACAAACCCATGTTACAGTCCTTGAGCAGTGGTTCAAGCAGTGGAAGATGACAAAAATGTGAACATGTCACTTTCACCCTACGGAGAGCCCTCTCTCGTCAGCTGATGTAGTCCGCTACCTTGGGCTATACATTGACAAACGACTTACATGGAACCCTCACACGCTGCTCAAAAGACAAGAGCTAAACAACCGTTTCATCCTTAATTTTATTATCATGATTTTAATCCATAAAATCAATAAATAAAATCATTTTTTAATCCGAATTCGCGCATTAACCCCAAAAATTCCAAAACGTGAAATTTTGTGCATAATATAATTTGAGATTATTACTCCTTAGGTCATAAATCGGACAGTTTATTGAGTTTAAAAGGGCCGTGCAACCACGTAGACGAGATGTGCAACAACGCTGTAACTCTATCACTGATTAATTATGGCTGATTATTTTATAGACATGTTAAGTTATGTAAAACTGTATTTGAAATAAAACATTAATAATCAGCACAGTCGTTAGGCGAATTTCAGGCTGAGAAGGATAAAGTGGATTTTAATAAAGGGCGAATAATAATGTACTAACTTGTAAATCGATTGGTCACTCTCGTAGAGGATAACCGTCCGTTTCAGACAAACGAGGAGGGCATCGTGGATTTCCTTGATTCCACGGTCACTTTCTCTGAACGGAAAACGTCCATTGGAGTTTTATTCCGAGACTGGACAATAAAAAACGCCATTTGCCCGGTGAACCAGGGAAGAAGAAGAATCGGCCCGGCGGCGCGGCTGTCTTCGACTAACGTTTCCTTCAAGTCGATCAGGCACATGCAACAAGGATTTTAACTTCCAGTTTCCTGGTCTACCTCTGTTACCTCCTGTTTAAATATTTACTTTATGTGATCGGATCATCATAACCCAGTATGATCCCATAAGTTAGGGGATACCACTGAATTGTTTATTTACGATGGAATGAAACTGCTGTACGAGCGGTCGAATCGAAGCGGAATCGTTTGACAAATCCCTCGCTTTATCTACGTCCTATGGATAAAACTCGTACTAGTTATTAAGTTACGATTTTGAAATGTGTTTAAGCGATAAATCGTGGCGCCGCGGGACCGACGGAGAGAACAAACGGAAAACATGAATGGGAGACCTGACGATAAATTGCTGGAAAAGAGAATAAAAGGCCACCCTGGAATGCGACCCTCTCGTGGGTAATTATTTTTCCTTGTTTCCCGGAATACAAAGGGAAATAAGTGACGGAGCATTCGGATGAACAATCGTAACGAGCCCCCTCCGATAACTCAGAATATCCCCGCTCGAAACGGGAGTCCATCCATACACGGTGGCCGCAGGGAGATATCTCGGGTCGATGATAGGTGATTTACTCCACACAGACCGTGTCCGGTGATTCAAAATGAACCGCATGACGAAGCTATACTCGAAGATTACGCGCACCACATTCGCATACAAGAAAAACACTCCACTTCGGCTCCATGATGGCCGTGCGGTCCTTTCAATCGACCCGAATTTGCGGGTCTTACAAAAGGCTGTTAAATTTTTCTCTCGGTAGACCAAAATATCGGTAAATTTGTTTTACATAAAACAAGTCTCATAGGTTTAAACCGATCGGCAGGCAAAGTGCATTATTATAACGGTCGGCATAGTTGCATTTAATTATTAATAATTACAGAAACTGTTGTGAAGGCCGCGTAGTCCTTGCTTTGGAGAAAGTGCTCGATTTCGATGCCGTCGCTGTCTCACCAGACCTTGCTGTTGCAAATTTTGATTCGTATCGAAAATTCGACTGGCTTTCGATTCTAAACAGACAGTTGATATCTGAATAAAAACGAATTTTAAGAAGTTGTCTTTATAGCCTGTCAACAATTTTAAACCAACATACAATACCCTACACTTACGTTTCAATACCAAGACAGTATAAACATAATCTATTGAAAAATATTGGTTCAGCTTGAGTTTGCAATCATTGTCATTTATTAACCAGAAAGTGGTCAATTAATTTTAAAATTGTATTTTTAAAAACTGTGTTAAATATTAAGCAGACCTGGTTGATTATTAAACTCAACCCAATTTATTATAAATAAATCCGGGAAACAAAGAAGTTTTACTCGTTTTATCACGGATGTTAATTCTTAAACATTTTTCATGGAAGTATTTTGCGTATACTCTGACTTCCTTTATTGGTGGGAACGAACTTGGAACAGAGTTGTCTCCTCTGCTCTAGAAAATAAAAAATATTGCTTGGGTTGCGTTTCTAGATATAGCACAGGCTTTTAATAGGTTCTGGCACCAAGGCATGCTTTATAAACTTAATCGATTCCTAACCACTCCTTATTATCTTATCCTGAAATACTACCTAACAGACCGGTGCTTCAGAGTGAGGTGCGATAGTGCGAGTGACTACGATACAAACCGGCGTCCCGTAAGGGAGCATTCTTGGTCCCATCCTTTATATCATTTGTAATGCTGACCCACCTATATACACTAATGCCGTCATCACCACCTACGCGGATGATACCGTCATTTTGTCCTTTACCTCGAATCCTATCCAAGTCACTTCCAACATCCCAGAATACTTTGAGCTTATCGAAGTCTGGTTCAAAAAGTGGTGGAACTGAATGAAGAAAAATGTACTCAGAAAACAGCCTTCCCTTGTACATCAACT